AATGAAACCAAAGGTGCAGTGACGATCCTCTAGAAGATGCCAGGAATGTGCAACAGCTGCGGAGGAAAGCTGCAGGCAATGAGCACAGCCAGCCTAACAGAGAGGCCATACAGGCTACAAACAGCAAAGCCAGGGGAGTGGGCCGATTTCACCCCAACCTGCCCTGGGTGCTGGACAGGGAGCTACGAAGTTAACATCTGACTGCTGGGTTTTAGTCCTGCTTGGTCCCTTCCGAGCTATATCGCTATTCCTCCCTTTTAGAACGGAAATATTTACTCTGTGCCATGTACGCTCGAAGTGTTCAGTTTTCTTTTCTTTATAAGGACTCACAGTCGAGTTTTCTTTTAGTTTCAGAGGAGATTTTGGACTTAGACTTTTTAGCAGTGCTGGAGCTCTTGAGACTTTGGTAACTCTAAACACAATGTATTTTGCAGAATGAAAGGAACATGCACCTTTTAGGGGCCAGGGTCAGAATGATACACTTTAGATCTAAACTGTGCCCCCAAATGTCCAGAAGTGAGGCTTTGGAAAGGTGACTGGGTCACGGAGGTGCTGAATGTGCTGTCCAGAGGTAGAGATCTGATCAGAAGGGGTCACTGCAGATCTGACCTAAAAGGGTCAAATTATTGCCCCTGGCTCCTCCCACTTCTCTCTCTTTGCTTCTTACTTGCCGGGCAGTGAGCAGCTGCCCTCCATTATGCCCTTCCATCGTGCTTTCCTACCCTGCAGCCAGTTGACTTTGGATTAAACCCACTGGAGATTTTGAGCCAAATGAACCTTACTTTCTTTAAGTTGCAGGTATTCGGTATTTTGTTCCAGGCACAGGAAAGAGAATAACACACACACATAACAATGTGCCCCCTCCAAAGAATCTTGAATGAAAGTGGATATCATATTACATGCAGCAACCACCTACATCTTCACTGTTACAGCACCCATAATTAACAGTTCTGCCCAGTTGATGGAAAATGTTGGGTACACTGAAGATCTGAAGCATTTCCATTCACTTACTCAGTGTGTGAGTCTGTGTCAGACTAAGACATGAAAGAAAAACAACTCCATGTAACTAGATCTTATAAAATTATGCTATGTCTTTGAAATCACTCACCAGGCTGAGTGACTCTCCTCACTCTTTCATATGGTCAAAGGGGGTAAGGGCACAGCGTTACATTTCTGGTCATCTGAAGCACGCTAAATCATACCAATTTTTGATGCATATTAAGATAGGAACTATAAAAATGTCCAATGCTTTACTAAAAGAGAAGGTTGGAAGTACAGCACACTTCAAGGAAATAGCAACAGTAACAACAGCAAAATATCAACTCTGAATACTCAGACAGCAGATATCCTTAAGAATGTCAGGCTGAAAAACTTAGATACAGCCTAACAGCCCACAGAAACAGTAGACAGGGCAATAATCACTTTGATATCATACTATTTTTATGTAGCAGCTGAAGCTGAGGTAGTTAAAGTGAAACAAAGTCACACCTAAACAGATGCATTAAGGTTTTACATAAAAGTCGAAACACTGAAGTTTTATATATGTAGCAGAGAAGAAAATTATGGAAATACCCAGCGAACTCTGAATTGCCTAAACATCCAGAGTCTAGAAGTCTAGGGATTGGCTGAAAAACTGCTTAGTCCTTTATTTAACCTTGGCTTTCCAGGCCAGAGCTGACTATTCAAGTGCAGCTAGGAAATAAATGCTGAATGCCCAAAGTTTTGAAATTACTCTGGAAGGAGACCAATGAATTTTAAGCATTATTTTCAGCATTAGCTTAAGTTTTTAATTTTAAACAGGTCTTCAAAAGGCTGATGTGTGCGTTCTTAATTATCTCTGCCCCAAAGCAGCCTGTACCCTAGAAATAAGTACAACATAAAGTAAACTCAGACAAATGCCAAGCTTAAGTACTTTCCTTTCGCAAACAATGCTGGCTCCAGACCGGACACACAGCTGGCATTGTGAATTTTCTCTCCTTTGGAACAAGAATGTTCTCATATCAAAGGTAACCCACGGTGAGGAAATATTTGCTGATTTGTTTAATGTACCTCACCAATTGTTATAAAGATACAGTCACCCAGAGCACAAAACAATGTGGTAATCTTGCGATGGGAGGAAAGAGGGAATCATTCTGTGAAAAATCTGTTTATCGCCATCAGCTGTACCTGAAGGATCAGTATTTTACTATAAGCAGTGTCTGTACACACTGTGACGAGAAGGTCTGTAGAAAGTGACAAAGGAAAGAAATAGCAGCGTCACTCTTCTAAAGAAAGCTCGCTGTGTATTCAGAAGTATGGTCAGCAAAGTCTCACACTTAAGGATTCTGACCTCAGGCATCCCAGAGAATTTTGATAAGAACAGATTCTCCTCTGGAATAAACAGAGATAACTTTATAATATCCTAGGAATTACACTCTGTCCTCCAAATACACTGTCTCAATTCATAGATACTATAAAGTCCACATTACTACTACCCACATTTCACAGATGAAAAAATGAGACTCAGCGAGCCTTACAAAGTTGCTGCCTGCCACGGAGCTATTAAATGACAGGCTGGGGTTGGGGGACTCTGGCTGTCTGATTCCAAGGGTCCATGCATTTAACCACCAGGAAAATTTACTAGGAAGTGAAGTACTTGAACACCATTACTCTTGTTCTCTTTTGTTAAGAAGAACCAATTCACTGACATGACCCCAACACCAATATAAGAGCATATGTAGGCATTTCTCCCAGTGCAGAGACACACCTTCAAATGATCCAGCCCCGCTGAACTTCAGTTAGACGGCTTCATCAAAACCGAGGCAGCAAGAAGTGACTGAGACTCTCATTTAGTTTGAAATTAACTTTGAATTGTGCCCATTTATTTTCTATTACTAATTCACTTCTGATATGGTCAGAGTTTTTCTGAAAACATTGATATTTTAAGAGGTAAGAGAGTGTTAGAAAACCCACAGGTAAATAAACTTTCAATAAAAACAGAGACAGGATTAATATGCTTCACTATATACAGAAACACGGAAACAAACTGCAATTTTTCAAATTAATTTGTAAGTCCAAATTTACACCAAATATATTTCAAACTGCTTTCTCCATGCAGTAAGCAGGAGCAGACAGATATGAAGACATTCTGCTGGTGGCCTAAGTGTTCTCAAAAAACCACACTGCGAGAAGTAAATCTCTATCACTTGGTAAGTGTCATCCCAAGACCCTCAGAAGCCTACATTAACTTGGCTGCACAAGTAATTTAAATATGCAACCATATTATTTGATAAAATCCCAACTGGGTATTAAAGTATGTTTTTCTTAAATCAAATTATTACTGCTCTGCTGCGGAAACTCTCTGTGGGGGTATTAAAAATGATAAAGCAGTGACCCCAATACTAATATGCATGTAAATTTCTATAATCATTCATCAGTAACATAATCTTTTATAGGTTTCATACTCCCTATAACTGTGGCTTTCAAACTTTTTTTACTATAACCCACAGCTTATAACACGCCTGGTATGTATGCGCGGGCATGTGCACACACACACACACGCACACACACACACACACAAAGTTTCAGAAAATAATCCTACTGCATGCAATGCACTTATTTCTTTTCTATTCTATTTCAGTTTTCAAAATGTTAGTAGGAATTCACTAATGTGATTTCATGAACAACTAATGGGTTATAGCCAGTTAGTTGAAAAATACCACATTCAAGGACTTAAGTTCACGGAGAAGTATAAAGTGAGAATAGTAAGAGAGATCTGTAGGGCAGCTACGGTTAAACTTCAAGTACATTTGAAGAACATAGGCTTGGGGCATGTTGCTCATTGTACTGCGTTCTTGACAAGCAGAGAAAGGAGCTCTGGGTTGGGGCTCAGGAATATTCAAGACATCTGAGTTTCCCTTGAGTAACGGGAACTCCACCTGATGGATACATCCACCTGGTGGATAGAAAAGCTGAGGACAGGGCACACACACCTTGCTTTCTCACACACGCACTACCTAGTAGAATCCTCATATGAAGTGAACCCTTAGTTCAGCGCCCTGAAAATTCTGCCAACCTTTGTACAACTGAACAGTGAGCCTTTCCCACGCACCTGCACACGTCACAGGTGCGCTGAGCCGGTCTGGCGTAGCAACGTTAGGAACCTAAGTGACCGCCTCAGCATGGGAAAGGCTGACGCCAGGACCCCGGCTGCGGACAGAGAGTGGAGAAAAGGAAAGCCCTTTCCTAGAGTGACTTCTAAGGACTTGGCCATTACAATTTTCCATTTCCATCTTTAACTTCCATTTTTAAATTTAAAATTTGACGTAGGGGCCAGGAGGATAGCTCCATAGTGGGGTGCATACTTACTATACATAGGGCCCTGGGTTTGATTTCCAGCACAGCATGGGTTAAAAAGGTTTTATTCATTTAAAATTTTAAGTATTTGAGATGTCAACTACAGTAGAGATGGTGGATATATCTCTAGCCATTTCCCTTTTATAAAGATTAATGAGAAAAATTCAAACATTCACAAGTTAAACAGAATTGTATTATAAACCCCCATATACCTATCAAAGAAAGTCAGGAATTACCAAGATTTGGGGACCATTCACATTCACCCTCTGTGTTGTTGCTGCTAGTATTTTAAAGCAAACTCGACATAATTTCACCCCTACTTACATAGCACGTGTGTCCAGATGTATGATGTTTTCTTTATATAACTACAATGTCATTATTGTGTTTAAAAGAATTAACAACCCTTTGTTACCCTCTAAAACATCATCATATGCAAATTCACCAACGTGCCTCAGAATAGCCTTTTACAGTTGGTTGGTTAGATCGAGGGTCTCACACGCCTTTGGTCACGCGCACCTTCAGTTTCCGTGGCTTAGAGCTACACGACCTCAGGCTTGTTTTCATCATTTGACTTTGACTTACTGTAGAAATGTGGCCAGTTCTCTTGTAAAATGTTCTGACTCCAGATTTACCTACTTCCTCAAGAATCATTTAGCACACTGCTCTACCTCCATATAGCCTATGACCTAGAATTTAACCTTAATTGTTTGACTAGATAGAAGTTCAATGTTTTTGCAAGAATATCAATTGTGCTGCTTCTTATATCATATATATCATATCCTATCACATCAACAGGCACACAATGTTCTTTGCCCTGTTTTCTTTGGAGCTTTGATTGATCAGCAAATTCAGGTGGTGGCAGCCAACCTAGACATTACAATGTTTTTACTAACCTTGCATCTAATAATTTCATTCCCTGATGACTCTTCCTGAATTGTGTATTCCATAAGGGATTACAGAATGTTGATTTTCTAATGCTCCCCTCCAAACTTCCTAGCTAAAATTCTTCTGTGAAGAACTTCGTCCTCAACCAGGTTGTCTGGATACTTGGAAATACGATTACTAAAGGAGAAGCAGACAAATGCTTTGATTTTCCTCTTTAATGGCCAACGTTCAGATTCGTAATTCAGAGAACAGTGAGTTTTTTGCTCGCTTTGCTTACATTTTAAATGTTTATACATTCACTGTATGTCATAATCTAACCGCTGCATCTTCAGCTGTGTCCCTTCACAGTGGTTTCTATGCCTGTTTAATAAGACGTCACTGGTCGTCGATGCCTTTCTTGTTCACTGGAACAAGATCAATAAATATTGTTCATTTCTGGCTTAATGTGTGGAATCACCTGTTCTTCAAAACAGCCCTGCTAGTGAGAAAGCCCTGCTTTGCTTTAGTGAAGAATAGCAGTAAGAGACGACAGTCTAAAAATGAGGACTGCTCATTGCTCCCCAGTTGCCAGAGTGAACAGAGGTACTATTCTGAAGAAATAATGAATTCCAGCTTAAATTTAAGGCCACAGGATTTTCCGATTTACTTCTGGGTTTAAATCACGGTTGCCAACCTCTTCATGTAAGTATTAGCTTCACCTTACGGTATCTACTATAAATGAAGTAAATAGTACTACTAAAATGGAAATAACGAATACAGTTCCAGATTTCTCTGCAGGTCAATTTGATTTTAGACTCTATTCCATTGAGAATGCCACTTGAATCACTTCTCTTCTCTGTATTAACCAGTTTTTTAAAAACAGTAAAGAAAACTTTTCCCTTCTTTTTTTCCCTCCTTAAAAGTATAAGGCCTGTGAAAGTATAGATGTGGTCAGTAGCGGAACCCAAAGGTGCGAAAATGCTTCGTCCCTTCCCAGTGAACGAGAGCCAACGGCACCGCCTTGCCGTGAGCACCCGGGCTGTCGAAGGCCCGTCCACCCTGACTGCCCGCCCTGCGCCCGGAGCAGCCTAAGGCGGACCCCCTCTTCCTGCTTCCCTCTTCTCAGCGTCTCTGCAGCGCGGCGGAGCACCGACAGCGCGGCTCACAGAGGCGGCGCTCCGTGTGCGCTTGCAGAGTGAAGAGCAGCATCCCGGCAAGTCAGGTTTTGAACAGGGACTGATATCGCCGGTACGCTTACTCAGGACGGACCGCGAACCCCAGGGTAGGTTTTACGTACGGTCTGTCCGTTCAGGTTTTGCCTTCACAATCCTAAAGTTTAAACATTTTATAAGAAATATTTTTGGAATGTGAATGATGTTGGGCTTTGCATAAAGGGAGAACTCCAGAAATACCTCACCTGGCCCCCAAACTTTTTTTAAGAGTAGTAACAGATTTTCTTTCTCTTGACCTTTAAATACTGCAGTCACACTCCCTTCCTTCCCTCCTTGTCCCTCCTCTCCTACCCCCCGTTTCCCAGAAACTCCTATTTAGGAAACACAAGATATTCCAGATTGGCAGGACTGTGCTGAAAATGACACGACTTTCCACAAGCCCGACGTCCGTCTTGGCGAGGACATGCTGAAAGGACATCATCTGTTGCTTCAGTGAATACAATCCTCTCTATATGCTGAGCGGGTGAAAGCAAACAATGAAATATGTACGTGTCAGGTGACTGCAATCAGGGACGGAAAGCTCTTTGCAGAGAACTGCTGGAGACAGGAAGGCTGAGGCGTGCGGAGGTGCAGAGGCAGAAAGGCCGCCCTTGAAGAAGAGAAGCACCCCTTCTCCTAAGCCTCAGGGGATACGGCCCGGGGCAGGGGGCTAAGCAGCTGTGGACATAACAGTGACGGTCTGTTTATTCTGTGAGAGACACCAGGAAAGGCCATTTGCTAAGCGTGCTTACAATTATATAAGAGAAGATAACTAAATGAATACAGAGCTCAGCTCCTGCTATGTGTCAGGCGCTGCACTAGATTATAAATCTATATTATATAAAATGTTATAACATATAGATATCATATATATAATCAAAAACTTATAACCAAAATCCACATCAGTACCAATACCTGGATTTTACAGAACAGCCAGTGCGGTTAGCGAGGCGGCTGTTACTACTGTCTGACGCGGAGTCCCGAGGGATGAGCGGGACAACAGGTTAGCAGATCAGGCACGCACTTCTGCTCCTGCTCAGACCAGAGGGCACGCATCTGCACTAACGCAGAGGTACAGTCAGAAGGCGGCAGCAGCGGTCAGGCCGCGTCCAGCCCGGGAGCGGGGTTTCCCGGCCCTTGCGTGAAGCGGGCACTGCCAGCACCCAGCCCGTGGCACCTCCACACAGCCGCTGGGCTCTGCCTTCTCCAGCCGTGTGGGCAGGGCCGGCCCTCAAGGGGGGCAAGAGGTTCTGCGGGACGCAGTCACCAGGAGCAGCTCTGCACTACGGACGCAGGAATGGCGGTAGCCGCACCCCTGCGCTGCCCTGCTGTGGTGGACAGCGGCCGAGGCACGCCCCCCGCAGTTGCCCGCAGCTCACAGGTACTGCCGTCTAGGTGCCCTCAGCGGCACCTGCTGCCCAGCACTCACTGCAGTGCCTCCCTGCCCTCCGTCTCACCCCCGGCGCCTGCAAGTGCGACCCCAGGTCCCGGACGGAACAGGCCGCTGTCCTTAAACAGTCTCAGTTCACCCTGGGGACTCAAAACCAAAACAGTGGAGGACGGAGATGTGAAGCCAGAGGACCAGAAGTGCTGGGGAGAGGAACTCCGCCGCCGACCAGGGGGCCGGCTGAGGTGCAACGGAATTCAAGTCACAGGAGGAGGAGAGGGCAAGGAACGGGGCAGGCCAAGGCCGCTCAGGCTGCAGAAGGGAAATCAAGTCAGAGAGGAAGGCAGACAGGTGGGAGTCGGGAGAGCAGTCCGCTGCGTGCGCTGGGAGTCAGGGGCAGGACGGTGTGCGGTGATGGCAGGGGCAAGGGCAGCCCGAGAGCGTCCGCTCCTGAGTGGAGAAACACCGAAGAAACCGCAGAACGGTGCAGCCAGTGGCTGGAGCGCCGGAGTTCTCCTCCAGGAGTGCTGGTCCGCTGCGATGGGGGCAGGAGCTGCGAAGGGGAGAGGCCAAGACCACCTGTGAAAGCGTGACAGTGAGCTGGACGCAGGTCCGGCCAAGCGTGACAAAGGGAAAGCCTGGACGGTGACGATCTCAGAGGGAAAGGCAAGTCTGCAGGGACGAAGTGGAAGTTGCTCCGTTCTGAGGTGCGCCAGGCTGCCCCATCTCTACGGAGGAGGAGGAGGGAAGAGCGTGTTCCTAAGGGAAGGCAGCACGTTACTGGGCGGCAGAGGATGCGGAAGGGTATTTATAATGGAAGAGTTTTCAGCACACACAGGGGAAAGAGCGGGGAGGGAAGTAATCTAAGGAAGACAAGCCATTGGGAGAGAGGGAGGACTTCCGTATCAGTTAAGGACCTCAGGGGCACGGGGCAGTGGCTAGGAGGTGAACGGGATGCAAATAACTGAATAAAGGCCAGGAGGGCGACAGCATGACACCATGACAAGAGCAGCACCTCTGGAGTCAGACCTGGATTAGTTCTGGGATGTGAAACTGACTCTAGGATCTGGGGAACAGTATATAAACTTCTACGTCTCTATTTTCTCATCTGTACAATGGGAATAGTTATTTGGTGTTATTTTGAGGATAAAATATGAAATGTTTAGCCCCACTCCTGGTTAACAAGAAGCATCCAATACATGTTAATTCTTGTTTATTACAAGTGGCTTCACGGTTTTGAATGAATCCCTTGGTATAAAGAAATTTAAAATCAGTTGGCCAACGGTCCCGGCTATTGTTAAGATTCATGCATTCTTATATTTGTCAGGTAAAAACCATGCACACACAAATTCAGATATGTATCAGTCTAAATTATTTCCTTTTTCCTAGAAGGTAAAATTTCTAAGTCTTTGTATATGTCCAATTTCTCTGTTACCAGAACTGGGTCCACGGTGCAGCAAGTGAGACCAGCAAGACACAGAAGTTAGAAGCCTCAGTCAGTACACAGCCGGAGCACCAGGACCCCCGTGAGCACCCTGCGCCTGCCTTGCCTCACCACAGGCCAGGCTCTGCCAGTAACTCACGGGGGCCGCTGCTTAGCTCCGAGAGCAGAGCTGTTCCTCACACAGACCCGGTTACACGGATCGGCACGGCGTGCGGACCTGCGAAGGCAGAGTCACTCTCTTGTGAGTCGTGGATGCTCCATAACTAATTGATCTGAACAGATATATTTCTCAGACTTGTTCACAAGGTTTCATATTATATCACATTATATATATATATAAATTTATTCCT